TGATTTCGGACACTTAACTGTAGTCAGTTAAGGCAACAACAATAAAACGATTGATCAACATTGGATCGGGCATTTCCAAACGAGTAATCCTCTAGCTTGGTCTACGAATCCCGTTTATACATTTTTATCTAATTCATCGAATATTCATGTTTCAAAAATCCATACTAATATGGGATCTATTCTAGAGGTCTTCTAGATAGCCTTAACATCAATTTTTTAAATGTGTATACCTTAGAGTTCTTCTAGATACCCTTAACACTACAAATCATTTCATAATTATAAATGTATTCATTTTATTCATGATCCAATCATAAATACTTATTTTAATCAGTAGGTTCAATACTCATAATCATCCATAATATTCATTTATCATAATCATCAATTAACACAACAATTGATAATAAATAGCGGCCTAGCTTCGAGTGTTAACACCCGAACTTACCGTCATGCAACACATAACATTTTTAGTTGTTAAAAACATCATTTTTATTATGGTAAATCATTTTTATAATGGTCATAATCCATTGGTATCAAAAATAGGATTTTAGAGCTCAAAAATAGCAATTTCGGACAAATTTTCGGATCAGAACATCGGGGGCTGGATCGATCCATATGTATAGAAAATAGTCCCAGAGGATCGATCCAGGCCATTGGATCGATCCAGACAGTCTGGTTTTGGTTACTGTTCATCTTCTTCTTCGTCCGGGTCCAATTTCGAAACTACCGTTTTTATTTACCGAACTTCAACGAAACTATATAGAGATGTTCTCCAAGGTTCATGGATCATTTTGGCATCATTAATTCATAGTTTTAACATCAATTTCATGGTTTATGATTCTTGATTCTTCAAGCATGTCAAACACAAAACTCAACCAAACGATCGTTTATGAACGTAGAAACGATCTATATGAACATTCTAGTCACTAGATATATCTACGGGCTTACCTCGAAGCTTATTGAAAGTTTTGAGAATTTTCCGGCGAAACTTCCGGCGAGTATTTCTCCCAACTCTAGCGACTTCACACCAAATTGACAGCACCACAACACTCCTCACACTTTCGTGAACACTTAGGAAGAAGAATGAAGAAGGATGGTGAAGAAATGAGGAAGAGAGGTCTTCCTTATATATTGGTGAAGAAGAAGAAGCTAATGGAGTTGAGCCAGTGGTGACTCACGATCGACGAAATGGGAAGGTCGGCTGATTGCTACGAATCTTCCCTGATTGGGACTAATTTGGTCCCAGTCGGGGTACACTTTTTGGTCCAACTTTCTCCGAATTAAAATCCGTTTGCACCATTGCGATCAGACAGTTGAACTCTATCCAACGATATAATTTTTATATTCATTCATTATACTTTTTCTGACACCACATTTTTGGGTGTTTGACTTTAATAGAGTCAAAATTGGTTTAATTGACCTTTCTCATAAAAGGTTCTCTCATTTAATTCACATCAATTATTCTCATGATTTATTTCAACAAATCATTTCAATATTTACATTCTAAACAAATTCTTTATTTACTCTTGATTCGGGTCTGTACTCAGGTTTCCAATCAAGACTACACAAATAGTCCACATATTGGATTTATCTCTATGAGACTTATCCAGATTTTGATATTAGATGTCAAAACAAATTTCATATCGGCCCAAAGCCCAACAATAATTTATTTTAATCAAAACAATTGTGATTAATT